AATGCGTGGGGGGGGGGGAGTAGATTTAGATGCTGTAGACAAAGAACTAAAAAATCCAGAATACTTTTAATTTTTAACAGTAAAATAGTGATACATGAAACTTAACACATAAAACTGTCAAAACAACAACTACTACATTCTGCACGAGGCTGCCATGTAGATATGGAAGCCATTTTTATGGCTTTTTATGGTACGGTATATTAAAAATCTATATTAGAAATCATTACAATCCTGTACATGTGCGCTTGTGTCCCAGCTGTTTCATTTATATTCCACATCACAGTCATTCTGTTGCCAACCAAGACAAATAAAGCAGAAATGTAGTGGTCAACTACAAGCATGATTCTTTCCATCTAAAATTCTTGTTCAGATTTTTCCCATTACATTATTTTATTGTAAACTTTAATTGTAAATTAATGTGGTCTTTTTCAAATAATTATATGATGAAAAAAAAATGTTTATTCATACACACTTCGAATGACGTGAAGTGAACAGTTAAGTCTATATTTGTTGTTTCTCTGATAAACAGTATTGGATTAGATAGCAGAGAACTCCATTATCTGATTTACTAAGCAATAGAGTCAAAACAACAACAGAACTTTGACCCTTAAACCAGTCGGATGCCGTAACCAGCCAAACAAGTTTTTGGACAGAAATTTCTGCAAAGTGACTGTAAACAACAGGCTTGTTTTATGAGCAAGGTCTATCCGTTTAATGCACAGCACAATCTGAAACTTTATGTGTGACAATTAATAGGCTATAATGTTCCTTGTAGAAATAAAAAAAGTGATTTAGAGGAAGTATATGGAGGATCCATATGATGCAACACTGTTGAGACAGTGATTTCAGAGGAGACAACATATAATGTAAGGCACCTCTTTTCTCATAAAAGACATTGCACAGCAGAATGACGAATAGACTATGTTTAACTGCAAGAATGGTGACATCCATTGTTGTCATATTTCAGTACATAAGCAGTCAATGTTTTTCAGCTTCCTTTAACTCAAAAAATGTTCAAGGAAACAGTTGCTCTCAGAAAAAAAAATCAAGATTATTTGACATTTAGTACTAAGCAATAAACAGAAACTCTTACATATTTAATTAGAAAACCTGTTCTGTGTCTTGTATAGGAAGGATGGAATTCCCTGGCATTACTGGAAGAGGCGTTTATGAGTCACCCAACAAGGAAAAAACCTTGACTAAGTATCAGGCCCTGTTTCACTGTGGGAAAAAAAAATCCTTGTTTTGTAAGCAGGCAAATATTACAACATATACTACAGTGAAACAAAACCACATAACTTATTCCAATTTTACTTCGTGCCGTTTGAACTGGAGATCTGAAGTGGTGCTTGTTCAAGTACAAGTCTGAAAACACTGCTTCTAACAGTACTTCGCTTAAAGTTGTATAAAAATAAACATTATAGAACCTACTTAAATACCTCCCACTACGGGAAATTATTGTACTATTGTGGATCTGCTATCATACCATGCAACATAACATTAACAAAATATTTAAGATGTTCTTAGGGAAGTATGATATTTATTGGTAGTATTTTTTTTATTTTTAGCATTAGCAGTGCTGACTACCCTTGAAGATATAATAAGGCCATAAATAAAGAGTTTGTGGGAACCTTGTATAAAAATGAAGTGACAGGAACCAGGGATTAGAGAGAGAGAGAGAGAGAGAGAGAGAGAGAGAACTCAGGAGGTTAAAATTCATTCTTCCTCCCTTCTCTTCCAAAAAGGCCTCCCCCTGGTGGACAATCAAAAACTACTACTTTTCCTAAATGCCCAATATACTGTAGTTTCATGCCTGGTCAGATTTAAAGCATAAAACAAGAGGAAGAAGCTAAGAAATCCATAATGATTAAATGTTGTCTCTTAATTCCCCAGTATGAGCCAACAGTTAAAGCTGACATGATGTAAGCTGATAAAACTTCCCATTACAAGTCAATAGTTCCTTTTACTTTGAATTTCTTTGCCGACCGCTCACTGGAGCGCAGTTCAAACTTGCTGCCATAGATGTGCGTTACGAAATCACCGATCTCCACACTGAACACACTATTCCTCTTCGGTATAACTGAAGAAAAAGAGAGTAGGGGAAATGTCAATATTCATAGGGAATTAATGAAGAACATATGCTCTACAATGACTGAGCAACACTGTTTGAGAGGTTAAAGGGAATCAACGGTCAAACAAAATGGAAGAACAGATCTTTCTACACAATATATTTTGACAAGACTTTGTTCTCAGGTTCATTTGGCACAAGGGGTTCTGAAAGGTGGCTAATGACTGTGATGAGGAAGAAGTTAGAAGTGTTTTCGTGACAGGAAGAGGACTCACTTTCGGTTTGGACTAGTCACTACACTATTATCATGGCCAACAACAAATTCACGATAATGATATTATTGTGATATCTATAGAATGCTATCAATCAAATGAATCTTTGACATGTCAACCAGAGAGTTACTATAATAAATGTGTAAATTGTCATTTTTTAATGAAATGATTTGAAATATCAGGGTTGTCCTCAATACTAGTATATTGCGACACCCCTAGTCTGGACAATGATAAAAGAATACAGTTTTACATTATGTTATTTTGACATGATTACCACAGTGTATAAAGCCACAGTAAAAACTTTATAGTTAACTGCTAATTTCTCATATTTCTTTTTTTTTTTTTGCACTCACTGGCTCCACCTTCCTCTAGTCTAATGGACAAAAGCTTGGTTTGGCATCTTTGAGTACTGACATACTCACTTACAGTAGTGAAATGACGTGAAACCTGTAAAAATTATCTATATTTACACACATACCTTTTAGTTTGTCCTCTTTTGTAAGGATTTTGAAGACGTGCTTCAGTTCCTGTACCAAGATGCCAGTTAGACCCACATATGAGGGGCATTTTGATCGGACAACTACAAGGAAAAGAGTTGAGAGAACATGAGGTTCCACTACATGCATTATTTCGAAAATCTGGATATTCTGCTGCTAAAGCAAAAAAAAGTGTTCCTTTGTGCACAGACATTTTTAAATGTGCATGACGTTGTACCTGTTAAGACAGCACCATGGAAATCAGCTTTCAAGAACTTCTGCTGGATCATCTGTGGGTTGCTGTATCCAAAAAGAAACAGACAGCACATTCATGGAGCTAAGTTAGCAAGACTGGAAATGAAATAACACCCAAAAAGCCAGAAATTCTGAAGAGCATCTTCCTGAAATTATGACACGCATCTTACCTTCCTGGTTTCAATCCATTACATAGATCCACAATGTACTGTTTCCATAGCTCATGCAGAGGCAAGAAGAGGTCATATCTACAATCATAACCACAGACAAAGATGCAAGAGTGATTTTAGTTTTAAGCACTACTTTTACTTACATAATATAGTGCATGATACAATACTACAGTGTGAAAGAGAGTATAAACGTTGATTTGAAATGAAACATCTAATAACTACTTTTGATGTTCAGGTTTGAGCTGGAATATTTTAAGCTGTCTTCTTTCTTTGGCATTCAGTCCCTTGGCCTTTCTTGTCTTTCCCTTCTTCTTCGTTGGTCTTTTATATTCCAGTACCACTGCCTTGTGCAACATCATTTCCTCAATGTGTTCATCCTTCATTTGGGGAAGGCTATTCTTTAGGAATGTTTTGGTCAAAGCATCCGCTGCCGTTCCATGTTGAGACTGTAAAAAACAGCATTCAGCAACATATCGACGAGTTTGTAAAGTTTCTGTACATCATTCAGTGCGAGTTCATCTGCATCATTGGACCAGTGTTGCCAATTTAGCTACTTTGTAGCTAGATTTAGCGACTTCCCCACCCATTTTGAGACTTTTTTCAAAAGTTTAGGGACAAATATAGCAACTTCTTGGACAAACCTTATCTAAGTTCTCATCTTGCCCACTGATCTACGTTCATCTTTATATAGATCAGTGAATTTGCCATTGTGATGTCATCTAGTGACATTTAGCTACCAGTTTTAGCTACTTTCAATTGAAAGCAGTTGGCAACACTGCATTGGACTGTTCCGTGATTTCAAATCTTTACAGATCCAGGGAGTCCCTAAGCAGACCTTCAGCCTCAGGCCATTCAGAGATCCCCAATATAAAAAGAACTAGACTCGGTAACACTTTACATACGTGCAGATTTAAGAGAATTACTAATATTTCTATACGATGGAACAGCACGAATTAGGAAACTAATGCTAATGATAATCAACGTTTAGTCACCTCAACTCCCAAAATATCGCTTTGCTCTGATGGTATTCGGGATTGCACCACACCTGAGAAAATAAAAAGAGTAAAAAAAAAAAGTGTTAGGAACCATACATATGTTGTTCATTTTGTTCTCTTTTGGCAAAGAGTGAGTAATGTTGAGTTTAGCATGGAAACAGGATCCAATATGATCGCTACACAACTTATTAAACAACATAATATTAGTCGGATTGCGAGCAATACAAAATCATCATCAAACTTACTTTCCATAATTCAAAACACACAGGATCCAACACTGCTGCTCTGAAATCACACGTGCTGACAAGGACAGAGGAGCTGATCACCGATTCAGAGTGAGACAGGAGTAATCGAGCACGGCATCATTCACCACAGATTTTCAGGCTAAAATAACAATAAATAATACCGAGAAGATTATTTGTTTCTTATATAATAAAAAAAATGCGTTAAAATGTACAAGCATATGACTCTCTAAATCAATATTGATTATTTTAATTATTTGCCATGCGAGCATAATAATAATAAAGTATGCAGATACATTTATATGCATGTTAGTCTAAGGCTAAATGTGCACTCAAATTCACTAGTTAAAATATTTTATATATTCAAAAATATATGCTGCAGTATGTTGTACTTCTCCCTCTCTATCCGCTATAAAGTCACGATGAAACAAAGATAGTAGCGACAGATCTGTCACAAGAGATAAAAATTATGAGGTTGTTAACTATGAGGTGTGATTTAAGCATTTACGTTGCTAGCAATCAGTCGTGTCGATCGTCGCGTACCTTGCTGTGAGCAGAAGCCGTGACCATAGTATAATGCCGTGTGATAAGAAGCGCGACACTTTCGTCGCCCCCCTTCTCGCGTGAGAAGCTACATGACGTCTGCGCCGTGTCATCTGCAGCACCTTTTGCCAGTATTGTAGAACAAACTAACTAACTAACTAAATATTTTGTAAATCTTATAAATATTAGGGTCACAGACTACTCAAAAACACAAACAAACAATGTGCAACATTCAACGTTTCACATTTTAGGGATGAAATGCGTATAAAAATTTATTTATTTCAATCATAAAAACATGCTGAGAAGGCACGATATGTGTTTCATATAGATTAACATGTCCTCCATATGACTCAACGTTCAGATTTAAGAATAAGATATTTTTTTCACCCAAGATTTTTACAAGTGGAAATGTACGTTTCTGGTAGAATGTCCCGTCTCACGTCTCATATCTTACGTCTGACGCCTGAATACTATGGGATTTTGGCCAGACGCCTGGCGAGCGTATACACGTTAGTTCTCCTCTCAGTTTGCTTAGCAATCAGCAAAAAGTGCACATACTACACCCCATAGTTAACAAGTGTGCAGTGTCCCTTTAAGAGTGTGTCGGTTTGCTCCGCCCCGTCGCTTTATTGGGCTCTTCTGCTCCGCCCGGGCAGGGTTTGAAAATACAAGTGAAGAAGGGAGGAGACCGACAGTTAGTTGATAACTTAGTTAACTAAACACTTTTATTCATACCTGTCCCTCGTTTACTTTAGATAGAGTAAAGGTTTAAACTTCAGTGATGTCTGGGGAGCTTGTGTGCTCAATGCCGGAGGAGGTGAGACACGCCGAGACAGAAAACAGCGTAGAAATCACCATCAAACTGACCAGCGAAGATCCACTGAATGATCCCGATCATAATGTCAACCAGCAGACAGAAGGACAGACAGAGACCGTCTGTAATGAGATCAGACCAAACCACAGTCGGGTTTCTAAAGGTTTGTGATGTTTATGTGATTTGACTGTGTGATTTCTGTGTGACATTTTCCTTTATATCAAATTAACTTACTTTGTATGTCATTCACTCCCATTAAATAACAATATGAATCTAATGTCACACTTTTGACTTTGACATTGCTGTTTTTTTTTATTAATTAATTAATTAATTAATTAAATATCAAATTGTCCAAAACACATTAGGTTGGATATTGGATGTAAGTCTGTAGGCCACTTTATTGAACTGGCATTGCTGATGAGATGTATATTGTTTTCAGAGTTATTTCGGACTGAAGAAGAAGATGATGATGATGATAATGATGACGACAGCGGCACCCATTATCTGAATAGTAATGAGAGGCCATGTACTCATCTACAGCGAGCAGAGAGGCCAGGAAATGGAAAAGTGCCGGACACCTTCCAGACAGACCATCTTCTGTACTATGAGAGATTCAAAGCATATCAAGATTACATGCTTGGTAACCATCCAAACACTTCTGACAGACACCCACAACAGCAGACGAGTTAATAAGTGTGTTTATAAACCTGAATTGTTTGACAGGTGACTGTAAAACATCTGAAGTAGAAGCCTTCACAGCCGAGTACCTGGAGAAGATAGTGGAGCCATGTGATTGGCAAGCCATATGGCACACGGATGTGTTTGATGTGCTGGTTGAAGTAAGTTCATTATAACATGCTTTTTGGGTATTTACTATTTACAGTTAAACCATGAAAAGTTAATGCTTATGATTGAAGCATCTGCACAAGGGAGTATTTAGAAAGCGGAGGGTTGCTGTTGTAGGTTGTTGATGTCGATTGTAAGGAGCTCAAGGCAAAGGTGGAGCTGGTGCTGCCGATGGAGTGTGAGACCAGAGGATGCGATCTTACTGAAGAGTCCATGAAGGTCCTGCTGGAGGCTACACTTCATAAAGTGTCTCTTCTGGAGCTCTCGGTTGTCTATGATGAATCCAGGGACTTTGATCAGACTGCTTTGGCCCTGGAACACCTCAGGTTAGTTAACCATTTTAAAGGTATATATTTTTCCTATTTTGAAGCAGCCATGCTATTCAGTTTATGTTGGTAGTCCAACGAACATGAAATAACAATGAACAATGGTAGCATTTATAAATAAGTAAATCTGCAAATTAGTTTGAAATACATATATACACATACTACATTTGAAAGGTCTGTTTGACTAAAAATACTGTAAATTATGTGCAAATTAATATAACAGTTTTCTATTTTAATATAAAGTAATTTATTCTTGTGATGGCAAAGCTGAATTTTCAGCAGCCATTACTCCAGTCTACTGTGTCACATGATCTTTTTAAAAAATCATTTTAATATGCTGCTGATTTGGTGCTCCGGAAACATTTCTTTCTTCATGTCTTATTGTGTATGTTGAAAGAGGTTAATATTTTTGTGGAAGCTGTGATAATTTCTTTCCCCAGGGTTCTTTTGAATACATGCTGTTCTTTTGAACTTGGTATTCGAAATAGAAATAGTTTATAACTTTCTAAATATCTTTACTACATTTTATTCATCATCCATGCTGAATAAAAGATCAAGTTCTTTATATATGTGTGTGTATATATGTATATGTACACTACCGCTCAAAAGTTTGGGATCAGTAAGACTTGTAATGTTGTTTAAATAAGTCTCTTCTGCTCATCAAGGCTGCATTTATTTGATCAAAAATACAGAAAAAAACTTGCAGTGATAGCAAAGATTTATATTGTTAGAAAAGATTTATATTTTGAATAAATGCCGTTCTTTTTGACTTTTTATTCATCAAAGAATCCTGAAAAGAATCCTGAAAAAGTATCGCCGTTTCCCAAAAAAAATATTTGGCAGCACAACTGTTGCCAACATTGATAATTCTATTAATAAATCAGCATATTAGAATGAATTCTGAA